TCTTTTACAGAATTTTACATGTCAGATGTTAATATATGGTATTAACAGACCTTTAACAAATAAATCATGCAATAACACTATTCTAAACCCGTATCCATGATTAAAAATCTGTTTTTCGTCAAATGTTTAGATTTCGTCAAATGTTCAAAATTAAACAGAATTAACAATAAAAACAAAATCACAAATTACTACGGCATATTATGAAAATCTTTTAAAATAAAGCGACCGAAATAACAAAAGAAATTTTAAAGTAGTTTTAGACTGGAAACTGATTTCCAAAGGTGATTTGCATTCTTTTATAAATAGAACAAGTTGACGACACATGGAGCCCATGCTCTCGATCTGTCATCACGTATATAAATTACATAATAAAAATTGGATCCACTCGACCTGTAGTTTATTAGTTCCGGTGTGACAGTTTGAATTGACTCCAGGTGTCTGTTTGCTCCTGGGCACTTGCACATGTCCGAAACTGTTGTCAGCGTTAACAACAACGAAGCTATATTTACTTCCCCTGCATCTTCAATAGAAGGCTTGATCTCGCCTTAACTACGTACATCTTATCATGCCCTTCACGTAAAACCTCGCATATTTTAGCACTAATTTCGATTGGGTATAAGCCCAGCTTGTGATCCTATCAGATTCCTTTGTTAAAAATATGGTTACGATTATCAAGTCTCGCGCTTCTAGCTAAAATGTCTACATGTGACAATCGAGTTGCAAAGTTCAAGGTTCAATCAATATCAAGGTTGCTGGAAATCATGGTTGATCAACAAAGGCTGTAAACTTGTCTATTTTTCTTCTATGGAGGCCACCATATGTGCCACGACCTCTGATTGGACAATGCTAATTAGTCACGTGTAAACACAACGAGCGCAAAAATTCGGGAATTGTTGAGTATTGAAGCAACGACTAGATGTTGTAAAACTTGCAGTTGTTGCTTCAGTAACATGCTTCCTGTGGTGTGAGATGGTTCCTGATACTGATTTGTCATGAATAAACATACTTGTTATCGTGATTAGCTGTTGTTTTAGTGATCAGGGTTACGTGCCCGAGGTCTCGCAACTTGGTGTGTTCATTCGAGCATGACCCAACTGTATTGACTGGCCTTTACTTTTCAATAGCTACCGGCTGACATGCGTATCACGGGATGTTACGCAGACGTGTAAACAAATTACCGCTAGAACCTACCAATAACGTATATGACAGGATGTCATGGAGAAATAAATATGTAATGCGGAGGGACAAGGATACAATCACTATATCTAATGATTAATGGAATAACGAAGTACCTCAAATAAGAATGAAGGCAGCGTGTCGGGAACAAAGTGGCAGTGCGGGAGCATGCTGCATGGATGTTACTTTCAGTTTATTAGGCCCTAACGGACGAACGAATCAGATTGACAGGTTGTCAGCTCATAGCTACCTAACTAAGGAATTTGGTTATTCTTCAAAGGAATAACAAAGTTATAAAATATTTGCTTACCAGTTGTCTCGGAGAGTCAGCGCAATTCGTTCTTTGTCCTCTTGACCGCCAGCCATGACAGCGAGCTGTCAGATGGGAGTCGGGTCGAAGGCCGTGACGTCACGGGCAAACTGCGCAGACTCGTAACGTAATGGATGCTGATTGGCTACGACAAAGCCCGCAGGGTATAAAAGAGCTGTAGATCAAGGCATCGACGCATTTGGCCTGGAATCACCGCCAACGACCGGTGAAACCCCAATGGATTTCTTCCCACCACTCATTCTAAGAAGATGGAACCATCTAGGGTATGTTGACCATTAATGGGATATGGCTCCAAATCAAGCAGCCTTGGTTTCCTGTTTGATATGGGCATAACACACAGATTCATTTTGTGGGATTAAGGCCTTAAAATTGCTTGGGCTATATTTTTATTATGTCGAGTTCTTGGGACACGGGTGTTCCCAGTCCCACCGTGGAGTTGTCTTTCCAATTGTTGTGTACCCCGAACACTGGTGCTCGGATAAGGCCACGTAAATAATCAAATTGGGAGTTATTCTTGCCATTTTGTTGTGTACCCTGGGAATCAATGCTCAGATAAGGCCACGTAAATAATCAAGCTGGGAGACAGAGACTCACTGTGGGATGGAAATCTTGAACGCAAACAAACTCCAGAGCTTTTGCCAATGCCATTGTTGGGTGGGGAACGGGGCGATAAATAATCTTATAGCGTTGGGAGGGAATTATTGAGAAACAAGAATATTACCAATGTCAAGCTCAGTGGCCCAAACATGGGACTGAGAGTGATTGTTATCAAATGGGGGAACAAAACCCAAATACGGGACTCGTACCAAATATGGGAAAGGGTAATTTCTTGGAAACATTCCTAATATGGAAACTTAGGAGCATATCCGGGACGGTTCCACTTATGGATGCATAGTCATGTAGCTATGCTGTAAGGGGTTTGATAGAAATAATAAGACAGTTGGGTGGGGTTTATTGTTCCCCCGCCTTTCGAAGAAAGCAGGGGAGTATTAAAATGGGTTCGTCTGTCTGTCCATCCGTCTGTCTGTCCGTCAATAACTCTCCTTCTAATTGACCTAGAATGTTCAAACTTGGTGTAGGTGTTTATTAGGTCAATGCCTTGATGGAGTTCGAAGATGAGCATTTTCGGCTTAGGGTAAGCAGAGATAAGCAATTTGATTGGTTGATGCTTTGGGACACGATAACTTTAGTTCTAATTAAGTGAGAGAGATGAAACTTGGTGTATAGTTTCATTACATCAATACCTTGACTAAGTTCGATAATGAGCATTTTCTGCTCACGGTAAGCAGAGCGATAATTTTGATTGGCCGAGACTTTGGAACACAATAACCCTCCTTCTAATTGACCTAGAATGTTCAAACTTGGTGTAGGTGTTTATTAGGTCAATGCCTTGATGGAGTTCGAAGATGAGCATTTTCGGCTTAGGGTAAGCAGAGATAAGCAATTTGATTGGTTGATGCTTTGGGACACGATAACTTTAGTTCTAATTAAGTGAGAGAGATGAAACTTGGTGTACAGTTTCATTACATCAATACCTTGACTAAGTTTGATGATGACCATTTTCTGCTCAGGGTAAGCAGAGCGATAAGCAATTTGATTGGCCGAGACTTTGGAACACAATAACCCTCCTTCTAATTGAGCTAGAATGTTTAAACTTGGTGTAGGTGTTTATTAGGTAAATGCCTTGATGGAGTTCGAAGATGAGCATTTTGATTGGTTGATGCTTTTGGACATGATAACTTTAGTTCTAATTTAGTGAGATTGAGGATACTTGGTGTTTAGTTTTATCACATCAATACCTTGACTAAGTTCGATAATGAGCACTTTTTGCTCAGGGTAAGCAGAGCGATAAGCAATTTGATTGGCCGAGACTTTGGAACACAGTAACTCTCCTTCTAATTGAGGTAGAATGTTCGTAGGCATTCATTAGGTGAATGCTGTAATGCTGTCCTTTTTGACCTAACCGCTGTTAGCAACATCAATATGATTATTGTTAAGATAAGCTACTGCCATATTGAAATGGTCATGTCGGAGAACCCGCCGACCTTTAATTTATTTATTTATTAGTATTCAGCTGTCATCATAATTCTTTTTATTCAATATCAATAATATGTAACTTACCTCACCTATAAATTGAGTAGCTCAACACAGAACTATGGAGGCAGACGTGAATTAAGACGATGGCCGTAAAGATTACAATATTATAATATATATTGGTTGTTATACATGTAGTGTAGTTTAAAGGTTGTTACTGTCTTGCTGAATTTAAGGAGTCCAATCCACAGTTATTAGATGATGTGATTATGTTACAATGCCTTGATCTAGTTCGATGATAAACATTGTCTGCTTACGGTGAGCAGAGATAAGCAATCTGATAGGTTGATGCTTTGGGGTATGATAATTTGGTTATAATTAAGTGAGAGTGGTGAAACTCCATGTGTGGAGATTCATTATATCATTGCCTTGACTAAGTTCGATGATGAGAATTTTCTGCTTAGGCTAAGGAGAGATAAGCAATTTGATTAATCAAGACTTTGGAACTTAACAACTCTGCTTTTAATTGAGGTAGAATGTTTAAACTTGATGTAGATGTTCATTAGGTGAATGTCTTGACAGAGTTTAATGATTAACATTTCGAGCTAAAGCTAGGCAGAGCAAAGAAATTTCATTGGTCAATGCTTTAGGACAGGATAACTTTGATTTTATATGATAATGAGAGATGAAACTTAGTGTATAGTTGATAATCAGTTTGATTGCTTGATACTTTTGAAAAAAATAAATGTGCGATAAATTAAAATGTGTCATCTATTTATTTTGGGATTTCGGCGTGAGACATCAGCCTCACTGTTGGCTTGCAATTGTTCCTGTAAGGATAACAACTATTTATTTTGGTACATTTCCTGACCCCCAGTGTTTTGCCAGTAAATACTTTACAGGTTGCTATAATTAACAGATTTTGTTCATATTCAGCATATCAATCATTTCAATAACAGGGTGGTACCTATTTATATTGTTGCAAATCCAACCCCCATTGGCAAAACCACGCCCAATTTTTGTATTTATCATCAACAGGCTGCAATTCTGAATGGATCATCTTGGAACTTTGCATATTTATTTCTTATATTGTAAAGACAGCAACTAACTATGTATTTTGGTGCATGCCCCAATCCCCTGGGGTGGTGTCACATCCAATTTTTTGTTTAATATTTAGTCTCTAAATTTGGCAAAACAAACCCAACACCTAGCCTTCTTTGCCTCTTGTCATATTACAGTCATTGCAGCTATTTCATATTTCTTTCTCTTCATTTTAAAAAGTACCATATCAATGAAAACAGTAATGTGGACGTATATTGCAGCGTTATCGATGCTCTAGTTTTTTTTGTTTAGCGTGTTTTCTGTCCATGTGTGGGCATATCTTGCATGGCAACCGCTTGTATTTTGTTCAGACCAATATAATGATGTGTTAATAATTACATATTTATAATTATAACAGGGATTTCTACCACTTCAGTCAGTGTATTGTACAGTACTAACACAGGTCAGTAGTTTATTGTCCCACCTTTTGAAGAAATCTGGGGACTATTAAAATGGTGTTTTCGTCTGTACGTCTGTCACACTTAATGGGACACGATAAATCTGCTTCTAATTGAGCTGGAGTGTTCAAACTTAGTGTAGGTGTTTATTTGGGGAATGTCTTTGACTGCCGGTATTCCACAGGGCTCTGTCCTCGGACCACTCTACCACTTCAGCCAGTGTATTGTACAGTACTAACACAGGTCAGTACCTTGTGGAAAACCTTAATTCTAATGCTAGATTATTTGCAGATGATACCAGCTTGTACTTAAGAATCCATGACCCAACTGCATGCGCGGCTATCCTAAATGAAGACCTAGATAAGATCAATACATGGGCAAAGACTTGGATGTCTCTTTCACCCCACTGAAAACTGAAACACTTACAGTATCTACTAAAGTAAAAAGGACCCAATATTGCCAACACTTTCACTAGACCACACTGCAATAAAGGAAGTATTCGAGCACAAGCATTTGGGGCTGATTTTTCAAAATGACTGTAAATTTGATAGACATATCGACAATATCTTGTCGAAAACTTCTAGGCTTGTAAACGTTCTCCGCTCTCTGAAGTACAGACTAAATAGAAATTCTTTGAAAACCTTGTACTTATCCTATATTCTTTCGCATTTCGAGTATTGTGATGTCATATAGGATGGGTGCACCGATGAACTTACTAACAAACTAGAATCATTGCAACTTGACACACTCATGATTATATGTGGTGCTGTTAAGGGGACCAGCCATAGACTTTTATACGACGAAACAGGTTTTATCACACTACAGGAGAGGCGAAGGCGTCATAAACTTATACTCTTTTACAAATTTATGAATCATCTCACACCACCATATCTTCATGAATTGCTATTATTCCCCGAATAGCCTTATAACCTTCGTAACAAATCGACAGAGTATCATTATTTTTGAAATCATATATACCATCTACGATTAAGGAATGAAACCGACTGTCTGACTTTATAAAATCATCTACTGATATACATTAACTAGTAATCAGTGAACTGAATTGTTTGAACTTAGTTTGGGTGAACATTGTTTAGTCTTATTGTTTGTAACATTGTATCTATGTACAAGGCAGTCAGTTTGATATTAAACTTCATTGAGTAAAGACTTGTTTATATGGTAGCAGAGCGTGGTTGTTCAAGACTCAGTTATCTTGTGAAAGTTGTATTTTATATGTGGATTTAAGTTAGATTGAATATGTTCTAAAACTTTTCCCCCATTTCAAGGGATGGGGTGGGGCTGTGGATATGACTGTGTGAGTGCAGATCATGACTTATTGTGAAATGATAATATGAAGTTTAAAGGTTCAGAAATTGTTATACATAAAGAGAGACTATAGAATTCAACCCTTTTAGTGGAACAGGAATATTCATAGTGCCAGAAGTTTTGATATGGAAATGGTATTTTCTGACAGCCACAATAGTTGGAACAAGTCTGAAGAAGTTGTGTAATGAAACAAAATGGAGCAGTTGGACCGAAGAAAGAGTGTTTAAATATATTCACAACCTACCCCCAACCCCCTTGAATGCTTCAAAGAAAATTAATAATGTCCAATACTAGAGATATTTTTGAATATTACAAGCCTGTGGAAAATATGGTTTATGAACTTCAAAATTTAGACCAATATGGTAGTATTGACTACAGTGGAAAGTTTGAACATTTTGTATGTGAAACTTGTGGTGGACCGATATTAGGTCATATTTTGAATGACGATAACACATGCCCTATTAAACCTAAACAAAAGAAAGCTGAGAAAGAGAAGATTATAGACATGTACGAACAAGAGGTGGCATTTAGAGCTGCAAGGGCTGAATTGGCATTAGAACAACTCAAAGCAGGCCAAGCAAGTAAGGTTAATGATGAGAAATATGGAGATAGTAGCACAAATTTAAGTAAAATAATGGAAAATTTTATAACTAGTCAACAGAAGATAGTTGAATTACTGGTAGAAAACAATCAACAGAATATTTCATCAGGCACCACTCAGATTACCAAAGCCAGACTCCCTCCCACATGGACCAAGGAAACGTTTGAACAATACAAAGAGCAAGTGAAAATATGGGGTCAGAATAACAGAGATAGCGAATTGAACAAATATTGGGATCTGATAGAAAGTTTAAAGAAGAACAAAGAAAGAGAAGGACTGGTTGAATATGTATCTACAACAGTAATAGAGAAACTACAAACTAGTGGCGGAAGAACAGTTACCAATATTCTGAAAGAATTAGAAGAAAAGTTTGCTAAGACGAGAAAAGAAAAGGCAAAATATTTGATTGGTAAAATTACTGAGTTGAAGATTGATAAAGATGAAAGCGGTGAAAGGAGTTGGATGAAATTTGAAAGTATGATTTCGGAAATGGAGAACTTTAATATCAGAGAGAAACTTAATTATTGCATGGGACATTTGTTTATTGAAAGATGTTTCCAGGCTGGTCAATTAAATGAAAGTGAAAAACGTGAAATAGAGCGTGAGATTGAACATTTAGAAGAAAGTGAAATGTTTTCGAAGTTAAAGGCGAAATACAGAGAGATGAAGATAGAAGGACAACGAGATGATATATCTGAGAAAAAGGCTTATTGGACCAGTAATAATTCAGATAGAAGTAGATATGAACATTGGAAGAGAACACCAGATTTTAGGAGATTTGAACGGTCAGCATCTAATCCCAGATGGTGGAGATCAAATTCTGGAGGAACATATCGAAAAAGAGAGTCGGTATCAAGAGGAAGAAGATTTGGAGCAAATAGAAGATTTTCAATGGAAAGAAATGATCGATCAATAAGTAGAGAGAGATATCAGAGTAAAGAGAGAATGAATCTAGAAGAGAGAATAAAGAAATTAGAAGAAGTGAAGAGTTTGAAAACAACTAACGTTCAAATTTGTGACTTTATTGATAGTGAGGATATAATATTAGATGAAAGTGTGAAGATCCATTTTACTAAACCTGATGATGATGTTGATGTTATGATTGTAGATAGTAAGCACCAGAGAGTCTTGCAGGTGAAAGATGGTTTAACAATTATTTAAAGAAGAATAATATTGGTAAAGAAGAATTGAATGTAAGAAGACGTAACCAAAACTTTAGATTTGGTCCAAGTGAAAAGTATACCAGCACTGAAGTATATGACATACCATTGAAGATAAAACAGAAAAAGTCACCAGAACAGTATATTCATAAATATTTGTCAATTTATCTTGTAAATGCTAATGTGCCTTTACTTTGTGGAAAGAAAACTCTGAAGGAATGGAAAGCTACACAAGATTTCACGTCAAATATTCTGACAATCGATTTGGGAGAGACATATGCCATTCAACTTGAAGAAACAAAAGGAGGTCATTTGGTAATACCATTAGAATCATGTAGTGATTGGACAACAGAAGACACTGTATACTTCATTAATGGTAGCACAGATGTGAAGAATTATAAAAGTGTTAAACGGATACATGAAGTAACAAATCACAAGGGAGAAGAGAATATGTTATTTGCATATAGAAACGCTAATTTATTAGATAAAGATCTTCGATCAGCAATAAAGAGAGTAATTGAAAACTGTGGAATATGTCAAAAGTATAAGAAGTCGCTGGGTAAACCAAGAGTAACTCTCCCGAAAGTGACTGATTTTAATCAAATTGTAACACTAGATCTGAAGCAATTTGGAGATAAGTTTGTTTTATGGGCTGTTTGTTCTTTTACAAGATTTATTCAAGGCATGGTAATGAAGAATAAAAGTGCACAATCAGTTATAGAAGCAGTGAATAATACCTGGAATTGGCGGTTCGGTTTTCCAAGTAAAGGTTTCTGGGCTGATAATGGAACAGAATTCCAGAATAGTTTGTTTTTGGAGCTGTCAACAAAGTGTGGATTTACCATCAATTTTGGACCAACATATTCACCTTGGAGTAATGGAATTAATTAAAGAAACCATTACAGTGCTGATGTAGTAGTGAAGAAGATGATGGAAAGTGATAAGACCATAACTTTAACCCAAGCAGTAAATATGGCAGCATGGACACATAACACTAATGTCAATGTCTTAGGATATGACCCTTTAAGATTGGTAACAGGAAAATCAGTCACGATTCCTGGAATTACTTCTGGAGACTTAGCAACCGAATCTCTCTTTGATCAAGAAGCTGTTCAGAAAATTATGGAAAGACACCAAAAAGTTACAGAAGACTTCAGAACGAGTGAATATCGAACCAAATTAATGAAGGCAGCAGTGGCTCAAAATAGAAGTTTTAATAATGCAAAATATATTGAAGGTGATTTGGTCTTTTACCAAGAACAGAATAGAGTCAGTTGGAATGGACCTGTTAAAGTGTTTTGTCATCGTGGAAGAGATGTATGGTTATGGGCAAATGGAGATCTGAAGAAGATTGCAGATTGTAAGGTTCAACCGTATAGAGTAGTAGATGAAGATAGCAGTAAACTTGAAGCAGGAAGTAATAAGTCTAAGGTCAGAATAGAATCAACACCTAGTGAGGCATCAGTGAACAAGAATGAACATCAGATTATGACAAGAAGCAGAAGAAAAGAACTTTCACGAGATACAACAAGAGAATTAGAGACAGATAGTAATGGTATTTATTTGATGACAGCTGAAAAGGCAGAATGTTTCAGTGAAGAAATAACTAATTATGTAGTAGAAGTACCGGTTAAATTTCACAAGAGCCCAGAAGTTATAGAAGCTAAAGTGAAGGAGATCAAGAACCTAACAGATTATGAGACATTTGAAGAAGTAGAAGATATTGGACAGCAGAGAATAACTAGTCGATGGATAATTACAAAGAAGGAAAAACATGATGGTCAGAAATGTGATTATAAAGCAAGATTGGTAGCTAGAGGATTTCAGGAAGAAGAAAAGCCCCAAAGTGATTCACCCACAGCTCTCAGAGAAAGCTTTAAAACATTCATGGCTTTAGCAGCTAACGAAGAATTTCATT